GTGGGCTGGCACCCTCTTGGGCCTCCTGGCGGGTCTGGACTGTGTCACCTCTTGAGCCTCCTGGTGGGTCTGGACTGTGGCCCGTGACACAGATCTATACTTGATTTAGGTATTGTATTAAATTAAGCTATGGGGTTTGGTTGGCTAATGGATGTCTTTGACCGTGTAAGGCGTGATTCTTATTAAGGGTGCAAGTGTAATTTGAAATCATGTAACTGGCAATTACTATATATTATTTTAATAGGTAAGGCTGTTGATCAAAATGAAAAGGCAAACCTTAAATTTTCAAAATTTCCCAGGTTCGGTAGTCGGTACCAGTGGCATCATTTGCCACAAGGACATGATAACAAGCTGGAGTTTTGTTGAGGTTTGAGAGATGGGCTTAACTAGGCCATTAAAGTAACAGCCCCCAAAATTGCTTATGGAGCACTTCAAAGGACAGATGATTTAGCCAAAGAAAGGGTTCTGCTACAATCTGATATCCTGAGAGTTTTCTGGAATGGAGCCTTTTCAAAGGTGGTGCCGTTTCTTCTATTTCTTCTTCTTCTTTTTTTTTGAATTGGTGGGTACATGTAGGATGGCTGCATTTTTATGTCTCTTGGAAATAGGGTGTGTAACTCTTTATTTCTACCCCTTGACCTTTTTTTCCTGTAAATGATGCTGGGGCTAAGGTTTAGTAGCCCTGTGATTTTTGCTTTGTGCAGGGATGAATGCTATTTTGATCTGCTGCTGGGGCGTCTTTTGTACATGCGTTTGGCAAGCAGGCTTCTTTTGTTAAAGTCCAAAGGATATTGGAGAAATATAATTTTAAAATTGAGTGACAACAAGGGCTCGATGAACTTCCAAGACAGCAAACAAACCTCCGAGACGGCAATAAAGCTTTGGAGAGGTTAGAGGGGAATGGAACTTTGATGCCAAACAAATCATGTTAAGTTCCATCTGCCATCAGGCATATTGCATTATCTTCTTTAGATGAACAACTCTCTCAAAAAGAGTAATCTAATTTTATTTTCTGCAGAAGAATGGTAACGTATCTAATAAATAATCATTTCCTTGCTTCCTAGTTTCTACCCTCCAGCACAAGTCCTTTAACATGGAAGAGGCCCTGCTAAAATCTTGAATGTGCAAATGGTCCAACCCCCCTTATACTCTTACACACCTAATTACCCCCCTATAGGGAATGCAAATATCTACCATTCAAACAGAGAAGCACTCTGAGAATTTGACTCGGTAGTTGGAGCCCTCAAGCATTTGACTTGGTAATTGATGCATGATTTTCCCACCCGAGGAGTAAGATTGGAATCTTCTCTTTCCCCCTCCTCCCCCACCCCCTCCCTCCTAAAGAAGATAAGAGAGAGAGAGAGAG